GCCTTATTCCTAGAATTCTTCTTCCTGTTGGAACTTCTCTCATCATTGCTCTCTGGGGTTATAATACTGTTCCCTGAATCTCATGTCTTCCTTTTTCTTGGCTTCTATCATTGGTTTGCTAAATATGTCCTCCTAAAGTAACTTCCTAAAAAGAGTTTGTTGAAGCAAAGTTCCTAAGCCATTCCATTTCTGAAAATATTTTCATTCTTTCTCTTGTTTGATAATTTGGTGGGTCACAAAATTCTAATTTTAAATTTTGAAATCTCATAAAGTTAAGAACAAGGCTCATTATTATTATCTTAATTAATTTCAATATCATTCCTTGTCTTCTAGTGCACAATAATTTCCTCTTTTGCTTTGAGTTAGAAAGATTCTGGTGTTCTGTGTAGGAGTCTATCTAAATAGTTCTCAAATAGATGATAAATGTAAGTAAACATTCATTTCATACATAATATTTCTTAAATTTTATACAATTTGAATGTGTAAAAATCAACAACAGACTTGAGGATGCAGACTATTCTGTAAATCAGTAACTAATCAGTGTTTCTCCCGAAACCAGCCTCACTGGTGTGAGAACAGAGGGTGGAAATGAGGGCGGCTCCTCTATTACCCCTAGTGACCACTGCTGAAAGTTTTGCTTTTTATTTCCACATCAGACTCTGCCAGTTTAGAGTTCTGAGTTTCCAAGAGAGGCATGTTTCCACAAGGTGACACTGCAGCAGTTTGGTTAGACTGGCAGCTGACCCTGGCCACTTGGGGCTCCTCATGCCAAAACAGTGGCCACAGAAGTGGTTGCTTTACTGGCTGGAGGGACTGAATGCTCTTGATTGTCGAGGAGTTGCCACTACACAGTGGAAGTAAGGAGTATTTCTGGAATGCAGAAGATATACTGGGGTATCTCTCAGTCTCCCCAGGTCCTGTGGTTAAAAATCAATAGAAAACAACAATGTAATATGCAGAGGACTGGTAATGCTTCAGACCCTTCAGGAGTGAAGATCTAGGTCACTCCACCATGCAGAGAGCCATGCCAGCCTAGGTGATTACTGAGAGCAGAGGTATAGATAGTAGAAGAAGTTAGTTATAAATACAGGCTTGTGACGAGTAGCAGAAAAAAAGGCTGTAATAGCTACTTGCAATTCTTTCTTGTTTTGATATACATGTATATATTCTTATATATATCAAAGTATATATATACATATTTTCCTTGTGGTTCAGCTGGTAAAGAATCCGCCTGCAGTGCGGGAGACCTTGGGTTGGATCCCTGGGTTAGGAAGATCCCCTGGAGAAAGGAAAGTCTACCCACTTCAGTATTCTGGCCTGGAGAGTTCCATGGACTGTTTAGTGCATGGGATCACAAAGAGTAGGACACAAGTGAACCACTTTCGATTTCATATATATGTATGTATGTATTATATATATATATATAATACACACATACACACACTTCATTCCTGAGGTATGAGATTAACTGCTAACACATTAGATGGTAGAGAAATGAGAGGGGGAAGGAAAAATATTGGTTAATATATAATAGCAACCAATATTTATATATCTTATATTTATATATATATAATATATATATTATTATTTAGTAAAATTACCAGGTGGCTCAGTGGTAAAGAATCTGCCTGCCAAGCAGGAGATGAGGGTTCAATTCCTGTGTCAGGAAGATCCCCTGGAAAAGGAAATAGCAACCCACTCCAATATTCTTGCCTGGGAAACTCCATGGACAGAGGAACCTGGGGCTGCAGTCCATGGGGTTGCAAAGAGCCTGACAGTACTTAGTGACTGACCATGCAAAATTATAATATAAATATAATATATAGAATATTTTTATTATCATTGGCATTTATAAAAATATATATTATAACATATTAATATAGTAATATATAATAAAATAAATGTTACTATTGTATCAATATATCAATCAATAATATAGTATGTATTAATATACCATCACTGTATTATTACATTAATGTTAATAATTAATATTATCATATTAATATATTAACCTATATATTATATTATATGTGTATTATATAAATATTGCTTTTAATATAATATTAATATTGTATATATAAACTAATTTTTTCTCCCTTCTCAATTTTTTACCATTTAATATATATTCAATATAATATTAATTAATATTGTATATGTAAACTAATATTTTTCTTTCCCTTCTCAATTTTCTACCATCTAATATATATTAATAGCAGTTAATCTTAAACCTTAGGTTTAAAGTTACAGGCTCTCAAAGGGAGAATGTGATTCAGCTAGAAAAGGCACTGATAATGTCCAAAAACAGTTGAAGGACTTTGTATACTCTTTTGGAAGAAGGGTCATTTTTGGTTCTGTGAGGGATAGTTGCATCATGTTGGGGGAAAGCATGAATTTTCTGTCTCTTGTTGAAGTTAAGTATGGTTAAAATGGGTATATTCAGAAGCCAAGTGGATGAGGCATGGCCTTTGGTAGCTTCGTACTGTGCCAGATTATCTAAGATGAAGCTAAATTTCTCAGAATTCCCCTCCCTGTATGGTTATGAGTTGGTGTTGGCCACAAGAGACACTCTATGTGAATTTGGAAGCCAGCTTGAAGCAGAAGTTATAGTTTTCACTCTGAAGGTCTGTGCAGGGCGCTAGGCCTTGGCCACCAGCCCAGATTGTTACTGCCGTGCTAGCTGACTTGGCGGGTGTGGGGCGGCAGTGGGGCCCAAGGTCCTCCGCTTCTCAGGGGGTCTCCGCCTTGAGCTTTTCTGAATTCTGGGCCAAGTACATATTTAGCTGGCTTCTTCTGCAGGTTACCCATGACATCAGAGTTGGAGGTGTTAGTAGACACATGCATTCCAATTCACCCACATGTTTCCTTGTTGTGGTTCACATGTAGCTTTTTTCCCCTGGCTGACTTAGAGTGAGTTCACTCAACCCTAGATGCAGAATCAACAACTGCTCCACAAACTCCCATAATTGCGTAGGATTTGTCTCCTATTGATTCTGCTTTTCTCAATGAACCACATGCTAAAGACATGTCAAGGGGGACATGGGAACAGTGTGAGGTTCTTATGCCAAAGGCCATTCAGTTTTCATGGGAGAAACATACTTAGTTTTTTTTGTATCAAGATTCATGAATTTTATTCCAAAGAGTTTCTAAGATGCTCCCTTAAAGACTACTTACTAAAACAGTATCATTTTTATTGTTTTATTTTTTAAAGTTATATATATATATTTATATGTAGACAGTTTGGCAGGTCCAGGTAATTGCCTGGATATGGATAACATGTTGATGAATATCCTTCAAATCTTTTTTCAGTGCATATATATATAATGTATGTGTGTGTGCGTGCTAAGTTGCTTTAGTCCTGTCTGACTCTTTGTGACCCGATAGACTGTAGCCCTCCAGGTTCCTCTGTTCGTGGGATTCTCCAGGCAAGGATACTGGAGTGGGTTGCTGTGCCCTCCTCCAGGGTATCTTCCCAATCCAGGGATTGAACCTGTGTCTCTTATGTCTCCTGTATTGGTAGATGTGTTCTTTACCACTAGCGCCACCTGGGAAGCCCAGTCTGTGCCTCATTTCTGCAAATCCACATGGCCAAATTTCTGCATGGTTAAGCTTCTTGTGTGTATTGTAAGAATGAAGGCATGAGCAGGGAGGTCACATCATTTAAAATATGCACAGACTTCATTTTATAAAACAGCAAGGTGGTTCTAAACTTTTCTAGACATCTTCTGGGGATGCAACATTATCAACTAATTTTTTTGGAGTCCTTCTTATATCTGCCTGCCTCTAGAATGAACCTGAATTGATTGATCCATCTTCTGAAGTGAAGCTTGGAAAGAATTTTCTCCAGTTTCCCGATTTCCTTTTCTCATCACTGGTAGACCCTCTGTAGCCCACAGTATGCTGAAATGAAGTAGAATTTCAGTCCCAGACCTGCTGAATCAGGATTTGCATTTTACTGTGATTTTCATACACATTAGAGCCTGAGATGTAGGCTGATGTAGGCTGGGACAGAGCCCTCATTCAACCCTGTACTACAGCGGTGAGGAGACCAGAGCGTGTACCCGATGATCCCCTTCAACCCTTCTCACTTCACCCGAGCCCTGCCTGCACAGGATGTCAGCCACTAAAGATAGGAGCGTGTAGGAACCGTGAGGACACAGGGACCTCTGCAAGCCGCTCAGCAGGGTGAAAAAGGGTGGAGCAGGAAAGGGAGGAAAGCAAGTTCCTGGACTCCCAAACCACAGTTTGTCTAGGTGCTACTTTCCCCCGTTTTTAGCACATAGATTTGTGAAGAGGCAACCTTCTGATGACCTCTTTTCCTTTTGCATTTTGCCCCGTATTAAACGGCCACCATCTGAAGCTTTTCTCCGTGAATTAGAAACCTGAAGTTGTCAGGGACTGAATGTGCCCGTTTTCCAGCGGTTCCTGGCAGTTCCCCGCTTTTATGGTGTAGTCATGGTGAAACCTGAGTCATCTGAAGATGGTGAGAGTGCCAAGGAGTCGGGGAAGGAGTTGCAGCCAAGCCAGGACCCAAGAGCTGGGGCTCGGGAACTGCGGGCCACCCTGGGCCACTGGCCTTCCTTGGGGACAGCAGAGCCGCCCTAACCCTGTGTTTAAACAGATTGCTCCAAGCTTCACGGTGCTAATGAATACCTTCTGTAGCCGAAGTGTTCAGCGGCAGCCCAGAGTATGAAGCATCTCCCCACACGGTTGCTTCTTAGGGTTTCAAGGGGCAGCACTTCACTCTCACACGTGCCAGAATTTTCTTCCCATTTATTTTATTAAAACCGAGAAACCCACATTTTCCTGGAGAAGCGAACAATATACATGACATTTTGTTTCAAGGGGGAAAAAAAGTTTTCTCCCGGGCTTATTGATTCATACACATTCAACGGCTACCAGCAAATACACGCCTGTTTGGTGTGTGTTTGCCGTTTTCTCTGAGATTCTGACTCACAGTCTGGAGGACAATGACTGATTTTTTCCCACCTCCCAGAGCGGCCATGCATTTTTCTCTGCACAAGGAGGGGCCTGTGTACGACCCCCGGGCATCGCCGGCGGAGCGCTCGTGTAAACAGCCCGCGGAGCCGGGTGGCCGCGGGGCGGAGCGGGGCGGCCGCGCCAGGTCGGGCGGGCCGCGCGCCTCCTGCCTCCCGCCCGGGTCTGCGGTGTCGGCCGGGGCGCCGCCGACCGCCGCGGTGATGCGGCGGGAGGGGTGGAGCCGCCGCGCCCCGGCTCGGTTTGGAGTCCTCGCTCGGCCGGCGGGCGCGCCCAGCGCTCACTGCTGAGCCGGGAGTCTGGGCGAAGCCGGGAGGCGGTGGGAGGCCACACCCCGCGCGGGCCCGCGTATTTCCTCGGGAGCCCGCGGCCGCCGCGCAGACAGCGCCGAGATGCGGGGCCCCAGGCTCGTGACCGCCGCCCGCCTTTTCTGCGTGTGGAGCGCGGCGCTGGCCGCCGTCCCCGGGTAGGAGCGCGGGGCGCGCGGGGCGGGCGGGGAGCGGGGGTCCCCAGCCGGACCTCGGCCTGGAGATTTGAGCCTGCATCGCTTCAGCTCGGTCCTCCCGGGGACAGTTAACTTTCTCCATCCACGAGGTTGTTTAAGCGTCTCCGGCCAGGACTGCTTTCTGAAGACTTTTTATTTTTAGTCCACGCTCCCTCTGAGTTTGTTTCGACTTTTTGCACCCTCCCCCCACCCCCAAGTAATGTGCCTTCTTTTAAAGACATGTATGCATATTTTTTCTAAACGAGATGTCTCAACTTTAGCAATGATAAGGTGTGGCCGAGGTGGTTAAGTATGGGTTCAGGTGCAGACTTCGTAGGAAGAGAACCAGTGAGACGCTTAAGTAATGGAATGCACTTCCTTCCCCCTCAGAGGGTTTTGCGCTGTAGCTCTAATCCCTGGTCTGGGCAGAGAAAGTGCTCTTTTAGCAACTTTTTGTGCTCTGCTCCACCTGAAATGTCACCGCCGACAGATAGTTTAATTTCAGATGGCATATTTTAATCAGTGATGTTGATTAGATGATGTTTTCTTGGGTAGATGCCCAAACATAAAGGTTTGAATAAGAAACAAGCAAAATTCATGTGTGTATGTATGTGTCTGTGTGTGTGTGTGTGCGCGTGCGTGTTTGCGCGCGCCTGTGTGTTTAAGCCAAGAAAAAAAAAATTACCCTGGGATGATGTCTTCTATAAAGAAGTTTAGAGGCTTGTACTTTGCCAATAACTTCTGCATGTCTTAGTGTAAGCTATCCTGTGCTATTTGTGGTTTATAAAATGGAAATACTAACACAGGCCATCCTCTAGCAGTGAATGCATTACTGCATTAAAATTGATTTATGGGAATGTACAACATGATAAATATAACTAACACTGCTGTATGTTATAAATGAACGTTATGAAGAGAGTAAATCCTAAGAGTTCTGACCACAAGGAAAAAATAAGTATTTTTTTCTGTTTCTTTAATTTCATTACTATGTGAGATGATGAATGTTCTCTAAATTTATTGTGATAATCATCTCATAATGTGTGTAAGTCAAATCGTTATCTGTATACCTTAAACTTTTACAATGCTGTATGTCAGTTTTATCTCAATAAAACAGGACAAAAATTGATTTAGGGGAATTATTATTTTTTCAACAGCCTTTCAATGCAGTTGCTAAATGGAGCAGTGGGGCCACATTAATTGAAGCAGTTACAGTTGACATTGTATAGGGAATCTGTCTCACCATCTATGAAATTTGAGAATCTCAAAAGAATGAAGATGTAAGGATAAGAAACTTCATTTTTCTCTTCTTGTTGGGAACTGTTTAGGCCCAGGTTTCTGGTGACAGTCCCTGGGATCATCAGGCCAGGAGGAAATGTGACCATTGGGGTGGAGCTTCTGGAACACAGCCCCTCACAGGTCACCGTGAAGGCGGAACTGATGAAGATGGTAGCGAACCGCTCGGTCTCTGTCCTGGAAGCAGAAGGAATCTTTGAAAAAGGTAAGATATACAGCAGAGTCTCACCCTTCTGCGGTAATAATTGTTGTTCAGTTGCTTGGTGATGTCTGACTCTTTGCGACCCAATGGACTGCAGCACACTGTCTGCCCTTCGCTCTCTCCCAGAGTTCAAACTCATGTCCCATTGAGTTGTTGATGCCATCCAACCATCTCATGCTCTGTCATCCCCTTCTCCTGCTTTCAGTCTTTCCGAGCATCAGGGTCTTTTCCATTGAGTTGGCTCTTCGCATCAGGTGGCCAAAGTATTGGAGCTTCAGCTTCAGCAGTAGTCCTTCCAGTGAGTGTCAGGGTTGATTTCCTTTAGGATTGACTGGTTTGGTCTCCTTGCTGTCAAAGGGACTCTCAAGAGTCTTCTCCAGCACCACAGTTCAAAAGCATCAATTCTTTGGCATTTGGCATTCTTTATAGTCCAAATCTCACATCTGTACATCCGCATTAAAAATTGGAGTGTGCAAGAAATATCAATAACCTCAGGTATGCAGATGACACCACCCTTATGGCAGAAAGTGAAGAGGAACTAAAAAGCCTCTTGATGAAAGTGAAAGAGGAGAGTGAAAAAGTTGGCTTAAAGCTTAACATTCAGAAAACTAAGATCATGGCATCTGGTCCCATCACCTCATGGGAAATAGATGGGGGGACAGTGGAAACAGTGTCAGGCTTTATTTTTTTGGAGCTCCAAAATCACTGCAGATGGTGACTGCAGCCATGAAATTAAAAGACGCTTACTCCTTGGAAGGAAAGTTATGACCAACCTAGATAGCATATTAAAAAGCAGAGACATTACTTCGCCAACAAAGGTCCATCTGGTCAAGGCTATGGTTTTTTCAGTGGTCATGTGTGGGTGTGAGAGTTGGACTGTGAAGAAAGCTGAGGACTGAAGAATTGATGCTTTTGAACTGTGGTGTTGGAGAAGACTCTTGAGAGTCCCTTGAACTGCAAGGAGATCCAATCCATCCATCCTAAAGGAGATCAGTCCTGGTGTTCATTGGAAGGACTGATGCTGAGGCTGAAACTCCAGTACTTTGGCCACCTCATGCGAAGTGGAAAAGACCCTGATGCTGGGAGGGATTGGGGGCCGGAGGAGAAGGGGACTACAGAGGATCAGATGGCTGGATGGCATCACCGACTCGATGGGCATGAGTTTGAGTAAACTCTGGGAGTTTGTGATGGACCAGGAGGCCTGGCGTGCTGCGATTCATGGGGTTGCAAAGAGTCGGACATGACTGAGCGACTGAACTGAACTGACTGAATAAAGCCATGTGCTAGGTAGGGTCATGCAGAAGCCCCACATTTTCAGTGGCTTAAACAATACACTTTTGTTTTTTACTCATGTGGAGTCCAAAGTGATGTTCCTGGGATGCTCTTCTAGGGGGAGGTTCTGAGGCCCAGGTTCCTTCCTCTTTGTGACTGTCCTTTTCAGTATGTGGCTTCGAAGTCTGTAGGGCAAGAACGTGCATTTCTTCCTGTGGGAGGTTATTGTGGGCCAGGCCTGGACATGGCTCATATTACCCCTCCTCTCATGACCACGCTGAGCTTCACAGGAATCTGGGAGTGTAGGACAGTGTGTGCCCAGAAGAGGGAATGGGCATAGGTAAAAGTCTGACACAAGACCATATTTGCATACGGTTTATATAAACTATGTGTAACCATCTGTCTTTATTGGGTGCAGAGGATTTTACTAAGTAGGCCCATGGGAAGTAAAAGAAGAACTGTAGTTAAAATCTAGTTTTATAGAATATGTTTTAGTTTTTTAAGTGACAAGAAAAAAAGAAAAATAATGTAAAAGTGGAAGCCATTTGTAAAAGAACCCACATCTCTTATTTTAAATCTGGGTTCTAACTAGGCCCAGGATTAAATTGGGTCAATGAATATCTTCTTTTTCAATACTAAGGGCAAAATAGTTTTGAGGGGTAAAGAGTTAAATATATAAACTCTTTTTTTTCACAATGAAATCAACACTTAATTTTTTCTAATTGAAAGAGTAATATATACTCAGTGCTGGTAACCTGGAAAACACTGTAAGTAAAGAAAATAAACCCAAATCACCTGTAATCCTACCACCCACCTATAAACACTGTTAACTAGAAGCATGATTACAGGTTTAGTCGTAGGCCAGAAACTGAGGCATAAACTCCTATAATGTTGAGAGTTATCTTTTAAGAGAATAATTTAAGGGCACAGAATGAAGGGTGGATGAGATTCCACAGTAGCTCATTATATACATGTTTACCCTTTACCGGCATAGAGAAATTAATACCATCATGAAATAAGATAAAATCACAGTTTATTTTCATTTGAGATTCTTTCTGCACTGGGAAGTTGACTGACTGGGCAGGTAAATTTGGAGCTGGAGGAGGTGACGCGTGCAGGGGCCAGGCCACTTTGTGTTTTCTGTAGGAAAGACAGCAAAGTGGGAGGCTTTGTCCTTGGAGAAGAAATGTTAGTGCTTAAGGTCTGAGATTGAGTCTTAGTACTAGCTGTGTGATCTTAGGCCGGTTACTTATGTGCTCTGAGCCTCAGTGTCCTCATGTATAAAATGGGGATAGTGTAAAGTTAAAATCAGCATCTAGTACCTGTTAGACACTCAATAAACAACAGCTGTGCATATTGCGAGTAGAAATACTATTGAAGAAGAAGATGCTGGAAGCATCGTTTACTATTTACATGGGGGCCAACCTCTACTTTCATTATTGAACTATTTATTCTGAAAATGGATGAAATCTTGGCCTTAGGATAATGGCTAAAGGAAATACTGAAATACCAAGTCACAGCAGACAACACAGGGCTAAAGAGGGGCGGACAGCACTATCCTGGGAGCTTAATGGATCTTTGAAAAAGAAAGAGAGAAAATGCACTACTTTCAGGGGCTGTTTCATTGAAAATACCATTGCAAGCATGCTCCCTGTTTCAAAGGAGAATGTTAACTTTGTTATCAGGGGTTGTGAGTCATTGCTCTCAGAACAGATGCTTCCTGTAAGGTTAGGACTTAAGGATCAAGACATTGCTCCCTCTCTGTCTTCACATCCTTTGCTTTATCTGATTTCTCCAGTTGTAACAACATGTAGATCAAGAAGGACTTTTCTAAATTAATGGGGCCTGGATCTTCCTAGGATTCATTTTATTTCTTCCCATCTAAACACAAGCAATTAAATACATTTTAGGTCTGATTATTTCATCATTTTCTCATGGGGGCCTCCAAGAGGTTACTGCCAAGAAAAGACAGCTTCCCAGGTGGCTCAGATGGTAAAGAATCTGCCTAAAATGTGGGAGACCCAGGTTTGATCCCTGAG